AATCTCCACAGCTACCTCAAACACAGTAACGTCAAAAGCTGAGGTCAGGGCTGCACAGTGGGGCAGAGGTAAAACGCGATGCTCTGCAAGGCAGGGCCACATGGGAAGGTTGTGGGCTCACATCCTGAGTACAGCAAACATGTGTGTGCACATGATTCAAGCTGGCTGAGGGTAGGTGTAAATCGTGGCGTGAAGGCCCTATGAAGTGTGCTATTTCTGTCTCTGTGTTTCAGTAGCTTTAAAAACAATTTTTTTAAAATAGCTGAGCTCATTATCTCCCCCTCCCAAAGCCTGCTCCTTTTATGTATTTTTTTGTTTATGAAAGGTATTACCATCCTTCTAACCACCCAGATCAGAAATCTGAGCCTCCCCTAAACCCTTCTTCTCCATCAGTCCTCATAGCCAATCACTTATCACTTCCAGTCCATTCTGCCTTCATGACATTCCTCCTAGAGGTTCTCATTGCATTTCCACGTTTTTTCATGATTTCTTATTTAGATTTGATTGTAGGACATCTCTATAGTACATGATATAGACAGCGGATGAGTATAGAAAATTTAATGCTAAGCAAAGTAAGTCAGATTGTGAAAAACACTGTATATCCCCACTCAATACACACCAAATGCCTGCACTCTATGGCAGAAACAGAAAGACCCTAAGATAGTAGGGAGGACAACTATAGATACCAGAGACTGTACAGGAGGGGGCGGATAGTAGAGGGTGAGTGGGAAGAATATGCCCTTTTTTAAGCTGAGGATCTCCTATTGACTAGATTTTTGAAATAATCTCCAGACTTTTCCATCCACTTACAATCTCTTTCTCCTCTAACCCATTTCTTGGACTGCTATCAGGAATTTATATAAAATGAAAACTCATCTTGTAACTCCTCCACCTAAAACCTATTACTAGTTCCCAGTAGCTTTTACTTTTTTTATTTATTTGTTTGTTTCATGAGAGAGACAGACAGACTCACACCCTCATCATGCCAGTCCGCTTCCCTTAGTCCTCCAGTCATTTGGGATCGGGGGTGGGCATCCCTGGTATGTTTCAAATTGACTTGGGGGCGGCAGTCAGCCCGGGGGCTTCCATCACCCCTCTTTCACACTGTCATCTGCATCGCAGTGGCTGGGCCAGTTCCCGGTCACTTTAGGTGAAGTATATGCCGCTCTCCTTGACACCCAAAGTCGTGATCCTCTGGTAAATACTTACCAAGTGCCTAGCCCATGCAGGACCCTGTGCTCACAGACAGGGATTCAGGGGCAGTAAACAAAACGAGCAGGTCCCTCTAAGACCTTCAGGCCACCAGCATGAGCGTTTACAAAGGAGAAGCACAACCCAGCAGATGGCATGGTGGTTAAGGGTGCTGGATTCCCACATGGTAGACCACTGTTCGAGTCTCAGACCTGGTGGCTTGCTTTCTCACTTTCTCTCTCTCTCTGTCTTTCTCTGGTCAAATAAAAATAAATACATAAATAAAGCTAAATAAAATAATTCTTAAAAATAAAAGAAAGAAAGAAAGAAAGAAAGAAACACACCAGATGCGTGTGAATGTGTGCCCAACAACAAACAAAAAAGAAAACAAAAACAAGAAAAGGAGTGACATCACCTAACGTGGAAAACCAAGGGAGGCCTCAACCTCCCCTCCTGCCCTTACATAGTCGTGGACAAGTGTGGAAACAACAACTTCTTCCACGTTATTTCATCTCATCCTCACTACAGTTCCTGAATGTTAGTGCCATTGTCGTTAGCCTTCTTGACAGACAAGTAAACTGAGTCCCAGAGGGGTGATAAAAATGGCGGAGCTGGGAGTCCATCTTGGACTCATCTGAGACCAGACAGCCGGGCCTGTGCCTTGCTCCTCTGTGTGCTCAGCACCCTACAACTCGACACCCACACCCACACCACCTGCACCACTCCGCGTCCTGGCTTGCCTCTCCTTTCCCCTTTTTGCCCCCAACCCACAACTTTTTCCTACTGAACACACAGGGGTCATTTGTGATCCGATCAAGTTCTCTCCTCCATGTAACTCCATGTAAATCAGGTTAGCCACTGCCTCCCTCGTGCGTGAGCCGCATCTCATACATACTCTTGTAGTCACTGTAGCGCTTCAGCTACTTACCTGTGGGCCCCCACTAAGAAACTGTAAGCCCCAGGAGCCAGTAGGTGGCCTAGTGGTGATGACACTGGATTCCCACATGGCTGACCACGGTTCGAGTCCTGGACCTGACAGCTTGAAAATCAGCCCGAGTACATGTGCATGGAGGAGAAGGGGCTGTGGTGTGGCCATCTCTCTTGGGAGGTGATTTCTCACTTTCCCTCTCACTGTCTCTCTGTCTCTTCCACCAAGCACACATGTCCTATGGGGGGGGGGAGGAAACTTAAAAAGTAAAACACGCAAACAAAAAAACCCTAAAACAAACAAAAACTTTAAAAAAAAAAGTTTAACTTCCAGGGTATGACAAGTTATTGATTTTTTTTCTTTTAAGAATTATTTATTTATTTAACTTTATTGCTCATTATGTTTTAATTTGACCAAAGAGAGAGAAAGAGAACGTAAGAAAGCAAACCACCAGGTCCAGGACTCAAACTGTGGTCAGTCATGGGGGAGTCCAGCGCCTTAACCACCACACCACCTGCGGGTACCAGCGGCCGACTTCTGTAATCTCAGAATCTACGCCTGGCATCCTGATGTTGAAGGAAAGGAGAACAGGGCAGAGGAGATAAAGAAAATCAGACACTGAAGATAGAAACTTCAACATAAGGAGCCAGCAGGTGACATGAAGGTTAAAGTGTCTGGGACCCACATGATCAGCTCCGCAGTTTGGGTCCTGAGCCCAGCAGCTTGCAAAACATACCAGGCTTGGGACCAGCAGATGGCGTAATGGCTACAGTCACTGGACTCCCACATGGCCGACCGCGGTTCAAGTCCCAGACCTGGAGGATTGAAACTCACCCAGGTGGGGTGGAGCACGTTAACCTCCACAGCACTTGCGGGCCCCTCAACCAGCATTGAATAAGTACCACTGGACACTTCTGTGCTGCGGCGACCCCTGCTGGCCTCTCTCCACGCCTTCTGTCCAGCTAAGACACAGTGAAGAGCAGGCCCCACTCATCTCCGGTTCAGGGCCACAGACAGATGAGTCAGAGAAGAAAAACCTCAGGGAAGGAGACCTGAAGTGAACGCCACAGAGCAGGAGCGCCCAGGGCGGCCACCTCTCCCTCAGAGCGCGGGACCGGCCAGCCTTGGCTGAGCGAGTGGCTGAGAAGGGGCGGGGAAGGAGGGTTGGGGTGAGACCAGGTTCCCGGCTGGGTGCTTAGGCGGATGGTGGCACCTGTCATGGGCAAAGACATCCGAGCAAGCCCTGAGCTACCTCTGTCTTTCCCCAGATGGGCTCGTCTCCCTGTCCCCCTCGCCTCCCTGTCCTCCTCTCCCTGTCCCCCTTGTCTCCCTGTCCCCCTCGTCTCCCTCTCCCCCTCGTCTCCCTGTCCCCCTCGTCTCCCTGTCCCCCTCCTCTCCCTGTCCCCCTTGTCTCCCTGTCCCCCTCGTCTCCCTCTCCCCCTCGTCTCCCTGTCCCCCTCGTCTCCCTGTCCCCCTCCTCTCCCTGTCCCCCTTGTCTCCCTGTCCCCCTCGTCTCCCTCTCCCCCTCGTCTCCCTGTCCCCGCCCCCCCCGTCTCCCTCCCCCCCTCGTCTCCCTGTCCCCCTCGTCTCCCTGTCCCCCTCCTCTCCCTGTCACCCTCCTCTCCCTGTCCTCCTCTCCCTGTCCTCCTCGTCCCCCCATCCTCCTAGTCTGACCTGAGGCCTGGGGCCTGGGGCCTGTGGGAGGGCTGCAGTCGGTGCACACTGTGTGTGTGGGGGGGTGCAGGGATGCAGCAATGGGGAGGAAACGCCCCGTCTACGCAGGGGCTGAACCAAACCAAGGCAGGAAGAACTGAAAGCTGACAAGTGGTTTTGATGCGAGTCGGGGATGGAAAGGGCGTCATATGAGATCGTGGCCCGCAGACCCCTGGCCAGCCCCTGTCTTCGCTCTACCCCGCCAACCATCGCTGGCCACACCTGCCTGCTGCTCACCCACGCAGGTGACACGCGTCCCAGGTGTCCAGGACCCTCTGGAGGAGTGGCACTCTAAGCACAGTCATTCGACACTCTCTAGGATGGGGTGATGTGGCGGCGGATGAGGTGGGGGTGAGGGCAGAGGAGTGTGGGTGTGCTGGGGTGGGGTAGGTGTAGAGCGGTTGGAGGGTAACAGTCTCACCACAGCCTGGGCACCCCACCTTTTCCGGCCAGGAACCCTAGAAGCCTGGTTATTAGAGCCCCAGATGACCCTGGCCCCGTGGGACCCGGAGGCCCGAGCTGCCAAGAGACCTGGGCTGAGCCCCGTCTGCACCGCCCGGCATCCTCACCTCCCCCTGCTCCTCGCGGCCCTTTCCGGCAGCCCTCCTCCCAGGCCCCGTCTCTCCCACTGCTCAGTGTCCTCTGCAGAGAGTGAGAGCTTGACGGTCCACTTCCCGCACGGAGTGGCCCCGCGGACACATCCCAGAGCCGTGTGCATTCAGAACCGGAATTCTGAAAGAAAGTGTTGGTGGAGTTAGAATGATTCGTTTGATTAGTTTAAAGGTTTTAATGACTTGTGCCTTAGGTCCACAGCCGGGCCTGGGCTGGGTGGAGCGGGAAGACCGCACAGGAGAGAGACGTGCTGGAGAGTGAAGGGACCCCTCAGGGAGTGGCCGTCCCCTTGAGTCGTACCCCAGGTCGTGCCGTCCCGTCCTTGGGGCACTCAGACCCAGGTGCTCGGGGTAAGCACCCTGACACTGCCGAGGGCATGTCTGGCAGGTTCTGTGCCTCCCATCGGGCCCAACTGCAGCCCTGAGTGGCACAAAGGGGACGAGGCCACCTTGGCATCCCCTCCCTCTTTTTCTCCCGTCCCTGCTCTGTCATGGGGACTCACTTGGCAGGCTTTGGATTCAGGGATTAGATGGTGTCTCCGGAAAAGGAACCCAGAGAGTGATGGCCGGGGGGCTGGGGACAGGCTGCCTACTTCCTCTTTTCTAATCCGCTTGTTCACTGCGGACTCCGGATATCCGTGGGGACTCGTCCACTCTGGTGTCGCACCATGTGGCAGCTGCTGCCACCAACGGCTCTGCTGCTTCTAGGTAAGTCGGGTCACCTTGGCGAGGGGAGAAGCTTGAGAGGTCCCGGGCCCAGCAGAGACCCCCTTCAGGCAGGGATGGCCCCCTCACCACAGCTGTCACCCCAGGCTTAGCAACCAGGGCGAGCCATCCGGGCCAGAGCCGAGGAGAGCACTGGTTCTGATCTGGGCTTGGTCAGGAGGACAGGGGCTGAGAGGTTAGAGGCTTCTCCCCGCACCCCCTTTCCCTGTGTGTAAATTAAAGAGCACAGACTAGATGACCCCTCAGGTCCGTCTCTTCCAGCCTGGCATTTTGGGATCTCTTTGCTACTTTTCGCTTCCACTTTCTGGGGAACTCGGGCTGAGGTTGTGTCCATGGTTTGCTTCACAACCAAGAAATTCAGAAATTCAGTCTTTACCCTGATCTCTGCGTTTGAACAGGGAAGGGAGTAAGGAACAGTGTTGAAACCGGGACCTGGGTGGACAGAGGGCCGGTAGGCATCCACATTGGAGACCGGCGGGCAGGCCACAGGGGTTGGATCCACTGTCAACACCTTGATTCTTGGAAACACCGGCCACCTGGGGAGGGTGGGGAGGAGAGTTTTAAACACTCTACACTCCGATCTCCACTCACCGTTTCTCGGATTTTTCTCTTGCAGTTTCAGCCGACGCGCAGACCGGTGAGTTTGCTTCATGTTCTTGGATTAGTCAAGCGAGGCCTAGGAGGGCGCAATGACTGGAGGGTGTTGGGAAACGCTCACTGACGGGAAACGGCTGCCGTGGGGCTGGCCGAAGTCTCCCCACACACGGGGCCTGGCCAGGTGGCTTCAAGACCACAGAGCCTGCTTCTCAGAAGGGAGCCGAGCACCTCCGAGCCGAGATGACTGAAGGCCGAGTCACAGACTCGGGCTGAATCTCTCGCCGTGGTTGTCCAAGGGTTCCCTCCGGCCTCGTGCCGCCCCTGCTCATCCCTCTGACCTCACCCCACCTTCTCTTGGCTTCTCAGCAGATCCCCTGAAGGCGGTCGTGTCCCTAGACCCTCCATGGGCCAGGGTGCTCGAGAAGGACAGTGTGACTCTGAAATGCCAAGGGGCCCACCCCCCGGAGGGCGATGTCACACAGTGGTATCACAATGACAGCCTCATCCCAAACCAGGCCTCCAGCTACTTCATCAGGGAAGTCAGAGCCAAGGACAGTGGAGAGTACAGGTGCCAGACACAGCTCTCCACGCGCAGTGACCCGGTGCAGCTGGACGTCCATACTGGTGAGTCAGTGACAGGGAAGAGGGAAGCCGTGAGAAAGGGAGAAGCAAGGGGCCCTGACGGCACCGCATCAACGGCTAGCTGTGCTCTGAGAGCCAACCCACGTGGGAAGGTGGCCGGTCCAATACAAAGACCCGAGTACACAGGCCCACGCCCGCCCGTGGTTCAGAGCCAGCTGAAGGCTGAGGGTAGATTGTATTGGAGAGACCCTGTTAGGGGTCAGCAGGTGGAGTGGCAGTTAAGGCACTGGACTTCCACATGGCCAGCTACGGTTCGAGTCCTGGACCTGGTGACTGGCTTTCACACTTTCTCTCTCTCTCTCTCTCTGTCTCTCTCTGGTGAGCATGCATGCTCTGTAGCAAATTAAAAAATAATAATGGGACTAGCAGATGGCGTAACAGTTACATTGCTGGACTCCCACGTGGTCAAATGCACTTTGAGTTCTGGACACAGTGACTTGAAAAATCACACCAGACATGTGTGCGTGCATGCCCAAATTCCTGGGAGGAGAATGGAGGAGAAGGGATTGCAACATGGCCATTCCCCTCGGGGTGTAAATGGAGACTTCCCCTCTCACTGTCTCTCTCTCTCTCTCTCTCTCTCTTCTGTGAGCACATACACCCTAAGACAAAATTCTCTGAAATAATAATAATGATGATGATAAATAATATTAAATCAATAATTCTTTTTTTAAAAGATGAACCGCGGTCGACTACGTGGGAGTCCAGTGACATAGCCATTACGCTAACTGCTGGTCCCCAGAACAAGGTCTTTTTAAAAAAAGAATTATTGGGAACCAGCAGTTAGCGTAATGGCTATGTCACTGGACTCCCACGTAGTCGACTGTGGTTCGCGTCCCAGACCCGGTGGCTTAAAACTCACGCCGGACACGTGTGCGTGCGTGCCCAAGATCCCGAGAGGAGAATGGAGGAGAAGGGATTGCGGCGTGACCATCTCTTGATTTCTTGCTTTCTGTCTCTATGTCTCTCTCTCTCTCTGTCTGTCTGGCGAGCGCACACACCCTGTAGCAAAAAAAAGAAAAAAGAAAAAAAAAGTAATTCTAAAAGACCCTGTTGTGGATACTATTTATTTGTCTCTCTTTCTACCCCCTCCCTCAAAATAAGTAAACTTTAAAAAACAAAAAAGGAGCGGTTGGCTGGTGGCCCGGTGGTCCAAACAGCTGGCTCCCACATGGTTACAGTGGGAGTCTCAGTCTCAGATCCAAAGGCTTAGGAGACACACGGGGTACATGCACACGTGTGCAGAAAATCCTGAAAGGAGGTAAAAATGGAAGAGAGGGGACAGTGACATGGCCATTCCCCATAGGGGGAGCTTTCTCACTTTTCCTCTCCCGTCGCTCTTCACCCTCTGGAAAATTAAAAAAATCAAAATATAAAGGAGCCAGAGATGACACTCCTGAGAATTAGAACCACGACGAGATGGTCTGAGAGCCCACTGAATAACTCCAGAGCTATCCCACCGTCAGGAGGTTTCAGCCCGCCCCGGGGTAGACACGGGTGTACCACGGCAGTTTCAGGACCCACCATCTGTGTAGACTGTATACAGCACGGGTGTGTCAACTGAAGGCTAGGGATGACACCGATGATCAGTAACAGTGATTTTATCATCGTTGTTATTATTTTGTTACAGGCACATGTGCTTGGTGGAGACAGAGACAGAGAGAAAGCGAGGAAGCCAACCCCAGGAGGGATGGCCTGCCACAATCCCTTCTCCTCTGTTCTCCTCTTGGGGTTTCAGGCACACACACACGCTCCCAGAGTGTTTTTCAAACTGCCAGGTCTGGTACATGAACCTCACAGTCAGCCATGTGGATTCCGACCTCCTTAACCACACCACCGGCTGGTCCCAGGCACCATGTGTCTTAGTCACCTGGGTACCTCTAGTCTGCACGGCACTTGGTAGAGAGTGAGTGACCCATGAATTGTTGATTGGATGGGGACCAGTAGGCGGCATGTGATTAAGGACTCCTACATGGCTGAAAGGAGTTCAAGTCCCAGACCTGTCAGCTTGCCTCCTCACTTTCTCTCTCTGTCTCTCTCTGGTCAAACTAAACAATAATAATAAAATTAATTGAATAATTTTTTAAAATGTTGATTGGGTAAGTATATACATGGACATTCACTGAGACCAAGGCAGAACAGATAGGAAAAAGAATGTCCCCCTAAAGGCCACTAGACTCTGGATAGATAGATAGATAGATAGATAGATAGATAGATAGATAGATAGATGATAGATAGATAGATGATAGATAGATAGATGATAGATAGATAGATAGATAGATAGATAGATAGATAGATAATAGATAGATAGATAGAGATAGATAGATGATAGATAGATGATGGATGATAGATAGATAGATAGATAGATGATAGATAGATGATAGATAGATAGATAGATAGATAGATAGATAATAGATAGATGATAGATAGATAAATAGATATAGATAGATGATGAGATAGATAGAGATAGAAACAGAGACAGATAGATAGACAGACAGAGATAGACGGGTCGACCATAATCTTATGCTAATAACGATTCATTTATCTGCAAAGGAAATAAGCGGACACATAGGCACGGGCCTCCCCGAGAAATGCTGTGTGTTACTAAGTAAAGATTACCTTCTGTTTGGCAGATCTTTGTGTTAGAGAATCTTCACCAAAACGTGTTCTGCCAATTTTGTTTAGCATAAGTCATAGGGATTTTTGCTTGTTTGTTTGTTTGTTTGTTTAAATTTATGTTATTTTGACCAGAGAGGGACATAGCAAGAAAGAGAGGGAAAGTGAGAAAGCAAGCCACCAGGTCCGAGACTCGAACCACCATCAGCCATGTGGGAGTCCAGTGCCCTTAACCACCATGCCACTTGCCAGTCCCAAGTGGTAGTTTTTAAAATCACAGTAAATTTCTTTTCCTCCTTATTATAGCAGTCATTCAGGTTCACTTTCAAAACTGTATAAAAGTAAGAGGAAGAAAATAAAAATGACCTTTAGATGACTCTCCCAGAGAGAACACCTATTAAATGCATAAGTTTTTCTTTCTCTTTTTTTTTTTTTTTTGGATAAGTTTTTGCTATAGGGCACTATGCGCTCTCCAGAAAGACAGAGACAGAGAGACAGAAAGCGAGAAATCACCCCCCAGGGGGCATGGCCACTCCGCAATCCCTTCTCCTCCATTCTCCTCTCGGGATCTTGGGCACGCACGCACACATGCCAGGCGTGAGTTTAAGCCATCAGGTCCAGGACTCAAAACACGGTTGACTATGTGGGAGTCCAGTGACATAGCCATTACGCTAACTGCTGGTCCCACTTTCTCTTTCTTTCTGTTTTGTTTTGCTTTGTTTTGTTTTGTTTTTTAATGTGCTTTTTATATTTTGCTGTTTTTTTCTTTTAAATATGCCAGAGGGAGTGTTTGCTCGCTGGAGAAAAATAGAATGAGAGTGGGAAAGTGAGACAACACCCTCCCCATTGGGGGTGGTCACATCACAGTCCATTTCTCCCTCCTCTTGGGATCTTGGGCAGCTACACACACATGCCTGGTATATTTTTCAAGCTGCTGAGTCTGGGACTCAAACTATGCAGTCGGCCATGTGAGATCCAGCCACCTTACCCACCAAGATAACATTGATCTAATTTAATTTTTAATTATTCAGGTCAAACCATGTAGTCAGCCATGTGAGAATCTGGCCTTACCCACCACATGGCCACCAAATGGCCCCCAAATTGCCATTTTCAAATATAGTTGTTACTCTTTGATCTAAACTGTGACTCTCATCACCTGCCCTTGGTAGGTAAACCTAGCACTTAAAGATCCTGCCGATGTTCCCGATCTTGCTTCTCACCTGCCTGGTTCCCTAGCTCCTCTGTTCTCACCTTCTGTCTTGGTCACGTGAATGTGCGTCCCTCTTTACCGTTCATCGAAATGTCTTGGTCGGACCTGAGCTCTCCTGCACATCCACTCGACTTTTCTTTTTTTGGAGAGGTTTTTGCCATAGGGCGCATGCACTTTTGCCATAGGGCGCATGCACTTGCCAGACAGACAGAGAGATAGAAAGCGAGAAATCACCCCCCAGGGGAGATGGCCACGCTGCAATCCTTTCTCTTCCATTCTCCTCTCAGGATCTTAGGCACGCATGCACACGCGCCCGGCATGAGTTTAAGCCACCGGGTCCAGGACGCAAACCGCGGTCGACTAAGTGGGAGTCCAGCGACATAGACACGGTTGACTATGTGGGAGTCCAGTGACATAGCCATTACGCTAACTGCTGGTCCCACTTTCTCTTTCTTTCTGTTTTGTTTTGCTTTGTTTTGTTTTGTTTTTTAATGTGCTTTTTATATTTTGCTGTTTTTTTCTTTTAAATATGCCAGAGGGAGTGTTTGCTCGCTGGAGAAAAATAGAATGAGAGTGGGAAAGTGAGACAACACCCTCCCCATTGGGGGTGGTCACATCACAGTCCATTTCTCCCTCCTCTTGGGATCTTGGGCAGCTACACACACATGCCTGGTATATTTTTCAAGCTGCTGAGTCTGGGACTCAAACTATGCAGTCGGCCATGTGAGATCCAGCCACCTTACCCACCAAGATAACATTGATCTAATTTAATTTTTAATTATTCAGGTCAAACCATGTAGTCAGCCATGTGAGAATCTGGCCTTACCCACCACATGGCCACCAAATGGCCCCCAAATTGCCATTTTCAAATATAGTTGTTACTCTTTGATCTAAACTGTGACTCTCATCACCTGCCCTTGGTAGGTAAACCTAGCACTTAAAGATCCTGCCGATGTTCCCGATCTTGCTTCTCACCTGCCTGGTTCCCTAGCTCCTCTGTTCTCACCTTCTGTCCTGGTCACGTGAATGTGCGTCCCTCTTTACCGTTCATCGAAATGTCTTGGTCGGACCTGAGCTCTCCTGCACATCCACTCGACTTTTCTTTTTTTGGAGAGGTTTTTGCCATAGGGCGCATGCACTTTTGCCATAGGGCGCATGCACTTGCCAGACAGACAGAGAGATAGAAAGCGAGAAATCACCCCCCAGGGGAGATGGCCACGCTGCAATCCTTTCTCTTCCATTCTCCTCTCAGGATCTTAGGCACGCATGCACACGCGCCCGGCATGAGTTTAAGCCACCGGGTCCAGGACGCAAACCGCGGTCGACTAAGTGGGAGTCCAGCGACATAGCCATTACGCTAACTGCTGGTCCCAACATCCACTCAACTTTTTCAAAGGGCCCATGGGCTCCCAGCCTGCCTTCCCACTGGCTCCCAGAATCTGGGTAGGGAGCGTTCCTGAAGAGCTCTGCACCTGGCTGAGGTCTCCTGGGTGGGTCTCTGTGCCTTTCAGGCTGGCTGGTGCTCCAGGCCCTGCGCTGGGTGTTCCAGGAAGGGGAGCCCATCCGGCTGAGATGCCACAGCTGGAAGAACAACCCTGTGCAGAAGGTCTCGTACTTGCAGGACGGCAAAGTCAAGAAGTTTTTTCATCAGAATACCGACTTCGTCATCCCGGCAGCCGCTCGCAGTCACAGTGGCACCTACTACTGCAGGGGGCTGATCGGGAGTAAGAACATGTCGTCGGAGACCGTGGACCTCCTCGTTCAAGGTGAGGGATGAGGGACTCCGTGCAGAGCACCTGCGTGTGGCACCTGCACCCACACGGGGCAGACAAGGCAGGAGGAGGTCCCACACTCCTCTGCACACTTTCTGTGAGGTTCCCGAACATCCCTGAGTGCTGGGCAGGCCCTGGCCATAGTGGGAGCTGAGAGGTGTCATGCCCCTGCAGTGTGACAGCAGGGTAGAAGCTACATGCCTGCCGTTAATATAGCTGCCTCACTCGCCCAAACACACCCGCCGTGTTAGTGAACCTACACCCTGGCTCATCCTTCCTGGCCTCCTTTCCCATCCAAGCCTCGGGTATTAACCAAGAGCCAAACTGGCAGGAACCCCTCATCCTCCCCCAGCAGGAGCCCAGACCTCAACCAGGTGCCGATGGGCGGGCCACTTGTTCTCTCTGAACTTCGATTTCCTCTTCTGTGACAAACAGGCCAACAGCGCAAGACCCAGTGTTGAATGAGTCATTATATGCGCCTCTGTGATGGTCACAGAGAACCTTCACAATACTATGAGACGCAACATGGCAGGGGTGTGGGGGTCCAAAAGGTCGTGGACTGGGCCCGACCCATGACCCAGTGGTTAAGGAATCCAGGTCCCACATGGCTGACCACGATTTTGTTTTATTTTTTTAGGGAATTTTTGTATTTATTATTATTATTGTTATTTTCCAATTTGACCAGAGAGAGACAGAAAGAGTGAGAGGGAAAGTGAGAAAGGAAGCCACCTGGTCTGGGACTTGAACCACGGTTGGCCATGTGGGAGTCCAGTGTGTTTAACCACCACACCTGCTGGCCCACCCATGGGTATTTGTTTCTTTGTTTGTTTTTGGTTTTTAGAATTATTTATTTAATTTTATTTATTCACTCATTCATTTTAATTTGACTAGAGAGAGACACACACAGAGAGAGAGAAGGAAAGTGAGAAAGCAAGCCACCAGGTCCAGGACTCAAACCATGATTGGCCATGTGGGAGCATCCAGTGCCCTAACCACCATGCCACGTGCTGGTCCCTCTACCATGGGTTTTGAATACTGGCTCTGGTAGCTTGAAAAACACACCGGATACACGCACAGTAAGATGGAGAAGGGATTGCCACGTGACCATGCTCCATTTAGGGGTCCTTTCTCCCTTGCCCCCCTCTCTGGTGAGTGTCCTCTAGTAAATTATGTTTATTTTTTTTTATGAGCCAATTTTATCATTTTTTCTTCGTTTCTTGCATCTGAAGCACTCTGATAGCATCCTTGGCCTGAGATTCCTCGCCATAGACCTTCACTACGACACAGCTGCAACCCACCACTTTACAGGGTTTTCCCTCTGTGTTTTACAGAGGTCTACCCAGTCCCCAGTTTCTTATTGTCCTCAGCCTGAATCAGGTGGATTTGATGTTCGGTACAAAGGGCCTTCCCCAACCTGACATGCATGGGTTCCTCACAGTTGGGTGCAAGCACACACGGGTGGGCTTGGCGCTTGCCTACGGCTTGGCAGATTCGCAAATTCCACGTGCTAGGCCATCTGCAGCACCTCTTGTAGAGCGGTATTAACGTCCCTGACACCTCTAGCAGCAATGCCTTCCTTAGCCATGGGGCCATGGGGCCATGGCCGTGGGTTGCCGGTGGAGCCGAATCTTGACTGCACCTGAGCCTCGGCCTCCGCGCCACTTGGTGGCGGTACAAAAAGAGCTAGCAAATTATTTTTAAAGTTCATGGAAAATGCATACTAGAAAAACAAACAAACAAACAAACAAACAAAAACTGCATGGATTTCAAAATCGTTTGCACCAAAATAAACATGTACTTTAATTCCATCTTTTTCCATAAATGCTTTGGACTTCCCTCATATTGACTCTATTTTACTGAGGAAGTAACTGAAGTGCAAGAAATAAATAAAACTTTTTTGTTAAGGTTTTTGCCATAGAGCACATGCACTCACCCAGGACAGAGCGAGGGGAAGTGAGAAGTCACCCCCATGGAGGATGGCCCCGCCGCAATCCCTTCTCCTCCATTCTCCTGGGATGCGGGGCGTGCAGGCATAAACACCCAGTGGGATTTAATCATCCTGTCTGGGACTTGAACTGTGGTCAGCTGCGTGGGAATCCAGTGCCTTAAGCACCACACCACCTGCTGACCCCAGTAAATACTGTTCCGTGTTTATTTATTTACTTACATCACAAGAAAGGAAGAGAAAGCGACGTAACCAGTATGCCGTCTGCTGTCCCCTCCCATGTAGATTTTGGATCCCGTTAAGTCACCTAGGACACATCCCTAGTTTCTGGGGTCAGGTGGTGGCATGCTGGTGAGGCGCCTGGATCTCACGTGGCCAACTGTGCGGTTGGAGTACCGGACCAGGTGGCTTGAGAAACATGCCACGCTCAGGAGGCAGTGGGAGGAGCCAAGGGTTCCCCTAACGCCCCACCATCGCCCAGGACCTGTCTCTTGGCAGGTGTCAGGGAGACTTTGCACTGGGGAGCTCGATGTTTGAGCCACGTGTCCGCCTCACTGGTGGTCAGTCTCCTCATCTCTCTGCTTCTCCTCCCAGGTCCGGCAAGTCCATCCGTCGTCTCCTCAGTCCTCCTACCTTGGCACCAAGTCGCTTTCTGCCTGCTGATGGGACTCCTGTTTGCAGTGGACACAGGGCTGTATTTCTCTATGCAGAGAGACTTTCAAAGTTCACAGGGACACCAGGACTACGCACTTAGCTGGAGCCAGAATTCTCAGAGCAAGTGACCCCTACCCCGTGGGGTAACAGCAGGGGCCACAGCTTCTCTGAGCCCCTCTTTGGGTTCTCAACTCCATCCTCCCCATCAGACATCTCCATGGGCAGCAGGAAGAGGACAACTCAGAGCCTGGCCTGAGGGCCTCTTACCAATTTTCTGTCTTCTCTCGCTTTCCCATAAAGAGAAGGCTTGCGCGGGACCAGCAGATGGCATAATAGTTACGTCACTGGACTCCCACATAGTGGACAGTGGTTCAAGTCCTGGACGCAGTGGCTTAAACCTCACGCCAGGTGTGTGTGCGTGAGTGCCCAAGATCCTGAGAGAATGGAGAAGGGATTGCAGCGTGGCCATCACCCCGGGGAGGGATTTCTTGCTTTCTGTCTCTCTGCCTCTGTCTCTCCAGTGAGTGCACACGCCTCATAAAGTAAAATCTCTAAAAAAGAGAGAGAGAGAGAGAGAGAAGGCTTGTGCTCTTCCCGTGCCACCAGTGAAGCCCTGGGGAGTAGCACTGAAGGCTCAGAGTTACACAAACACTTTCTGTCCCAACTGTGCATTCCTTCAGCAAAGCAACAGCAGGCTCTGCAGGGAGATTCTTTAAGTGTATAAAAGTGGGGTCAGCCAGGGGACGTGGAGACCAAGGCAGCTGGATGCCACACAGCCAATAGTGTGATCTGAGTCTCAGACCCGGTGGCTTAGAAAATATGCCTGGCACATGTGCCCCAAATCCTGAGAGGAGAAGGGAGGAGAATGGATTGCAGTGTGACCATTCTCCCTGGGGAGGGGGAGAGGAGGGAGGGTGCTTTCTTTCTCTCTCTCTCTCTCTCTCTCTGGCAAGTGCATGTGTCCCATAGCAAAAACTAAAAACAATAATAGTAATAATAAAATAAATGTAGAACAACTGTTGGTAAATAGGTGATTAAGTATATAAGTGAATTAGTGGCTGAGACAGGACCAGCAGGATAGTGACCTGCAGTTGCCTTCAAGGTCTCCCCAAATTCTTTCCAGAGAGAGTGTGGGAACTGCTGAGGGCTCAGGGTGTGCAGCACAACCAATGAAGGGCAGGGTTGGCCAAGGGTGGCATCCTGCTGGGCCCTCTGGGGCCGGAGATAAGGCTATCTTCCTGGAGTGAGCCGTGGTGGACATAACAGAGTTCGCAGGGTGCCGTAGAGTTGAGTCTTTCAGGGGCGTCTCTAACAGGATTGGGATGATCTGCAACACATAATGATGGAAATGGTCTCAGGAGGGGAGTTGGAGGCTGAGAGGGGTTTGGAAAAGAAAGCACACGTCAAACGCTGCGTCCCTGTCCCAGGTTCACTCCGTGGGCAGAGACATCTCAGCATGCGCACCGAGACATCACAAGAAAGCACCAACCACTGTTCCAAAGTGCACAGGAAGGAACGGGCAGGGTGGAGGAGACTCCGTTGGCCAGGGGAGTACGAATTAGAGGAGGGGGCAGGGACTGTCAGACCAGCTCTGCTGCGTCAGTGCCTAGTTCAGGCATGGCTTTGCGCATCTCATTCATTCAGCAAATGCCGGAGGGCCCTCGTGCATGTCCTGAGCTCTGCTGAGTTAAAGCACGGAACTTTGTAATTTCTCAGCACGTCAGTCCGAATGGGTGGGATGGAGAAAGCAATCGTGGCTTCTGGGAGAAAACTTTCGCTATTTCTTTCTGTTTTACAGTTTTAAACAGAACATTCCTTTATTCCAATAAGCATTTTATGAGATCACGCCTGCTACTCTCAGATAGCACATGGAAAAACCATGGTAATAAAATATGAATGACAAAATCCTTTTTGGTCCGTGTCCAAAATTCAGAGATTGGTTTGGGTGGGCAAGAAACCCTTCTCCTCTCAGCCACCACTCACATGAATTAGCCAGCTTGCTTCCAAATCATACTGAGACTTGAGAAAAGTCAAAATCAAAATGGAGTCGCTTGTGTCAGACCCTAACAAGGGAAGGAAGGAAGAAAGGCAGCCCTGCTGGGAGGAGAACTCTTACGACCCTCTGAAGGGCTCCTGCATACATATGCCTGTCACGAGAATGTTTGCCAAGAACTTTGTTTTTTCATTGTTTAACATGAGTTTATACGGTTTATAGGAGGAAGGGATATTTTACAACATCGAAAGTACTCTATGGGGACCAGCAGTTAGTGTAATGGCTATGTTGCTGGACTCCCATGTAGTCAACAACGGTTCGAGTCCCGGACCCGGTGACTTAAACTCACGCTGGCAGGAACCAGCAGTTAGAGTAATGGCTATGTCACTGGACTCCCGCGTAGTCAACCGCGGTTTGCGTCCCGGACCCGGTGGCTTACAACTCACACTGGGCACGTGTGCGTGCGTGCCCAAGATCCCGAGAGGAAAATGGAGGAGAAGGGATTGCGGCGTGACCATCCTCCTTGGGGGGTGATTTCTCGCTTTCTGTCTCTCTGTCTCTCTCTGTCTGTCTGGTGAGCGCACGCGCCCTATAGCAAAAACCTCTCAAAAAA